AGTTGGTGCTGGTTCTTTTTTAGTTGTGCTTAAGGTTTGTGCGGTTCGTGTCGATGTCCCAATTTGATCAACCAGAGTTTTCGTTTTTCTCTTTTGTTGAGTTTGTTTCCTGGTGTGCTTTCTTCTTTTTAATATAATCGGCAGCCTTCCTGGTTTATTTCAAAAAAGAATTAGATGAACAATCCTTAGTTTTTATTTAGAATTTTCCCTCAAGGTATTTTTTAAGATGAAATGAAGCTTTATTGGAAAACAAAGAGCCTGTTCACTTGTTGGTTTCAGTCAGAGCTTATCAGCCAGCCAACAGTGTTTCTCTCTCACAACAAACCAGCACCAGTGGACTTATTAAGTCAGAAACCAACCAGCGAACAGGCTCTATGTAACAAATCGATACATACATATAATTTGAAACAGATTTTATAGGAGCATTCACATAAGAAAAAGAAATCTCGTAACTTTCTTTCATTTTGTTATGAAACAATCCTTTCAGGCTTTTGTAATCAAACTGTTGGAGTCTTATTATAATTATAAATATACTCATTAATTCCCTCTTACATATAATAATATAATAATAATAAATAAATGAGCTAGAAGATATGGATTTTGACCGGCGTGGACCACATTGTTAGCACCAGGTCAGCAGCGCCTCGCCTCCCTGCCAGCACCTCCACGCAGCTGAATAGCTGATGCAGCCTCGCCTCCCTCGCCGGCACCTCCACGCAGCTGATGCACACCACAGAAAACAAACTGGGTGGCCGATAGATTAGTGCGGATGAGACTCTCGTGAAAGCAGGTCGGAGGTCTCCAATTGCGGCGTGTACGCCATGGCCGGCGAATCCACATCTCGGAGGCTCCTCCGTCGGGACCGGCGGCGAAGACGGGTGAGTCCGGCCGCTGCAGACCTAGATGCTCCATGGGCTTAAACCGTGGGCGATTCTAGGGAGGTTTGGCTGGTTTTCCATCCATCAAGAAACTGAAGCCAGCCACAGCACACAAGCGACGAACAAGCCAGCAAGTCCGGTGGTGGAAGCACAGGGTAACTGAAGCAGGAATTAATGCGAGGGAAATTCCACATCGTAAGGACGAACACCTTCCATCTTTGCAGCCGCCTGCATTCCGATCCCCGCTCCTCCCCCAATCCCCCTTGCCCCTGCTATAAATTCCCCCTTCCGAGATGGAAATTCCACATCGCAAGTCTGCTGCACTGCTCTTCACCCGGAAATCGCCTCGCTTACTTCGCTTGCCTCGCTTACTTCGCTTTTTCCTCTGTCTCTGTTGCTCGCCGGAGGTTCTCGGACGGAAGACACTGCAGAAGGTAAGAAAGTTCGAGTCTTCTCGGGCTCCTTGCGGGGATTTGGTGGTCGGCGGTTGCTTTCTTGGAACTGATCGTGTACGTTTTCGGTACAGGGGAAGAGATGGCCGCGGACACTTTCCCAGCGGGGCTGCGCGTGCTCGCCGTCGACGACGACCGCGTCTGCCTCAAGGTCCTAGAGAGGCAGCTGAAGTATTGCAACTACAACGGTGTGTGTTCTTGCCTTCTTAGCCGCCCCTATTTCCCCTGATTCCGTTGTGATACAATTTTGGTGGTGGGACGCAGTGACAATGGTGACGGACGCCCAGACGGCGCTGGACATGCTCAGGGAGAGGAAGGACGAGAACCAGTTCGACCTGGTGATCACCGACGTCTACATGCCCAAAATGGACGGCTTCAAGCTCCATGAGCTCATCGGCCTGGAGATGGATCTGCCAGTCATCAGTAAAGCCCTTGCTCAAACTCATTTTCCCCATTTTTATGCATGGCATTCTTCTGATCGTGCAGACTGCAGAGAATAGCAATCATGAGAATTTGTAGTACTACCATTTTTGGATGTTGTTCTGGATAGATGCATTGAATGGATTGCTTATAACTCGGTTGGCACGCGATATCCGGTAGAGCTGCTGGTTATGAATGTTTGGGTGGGATATCAATAAACGGCACATATGCCAATCATAAGTCTTGATTTCGGGGGTGCATATGTTCAGATACAATCAAGCCAATGACTGTGTTACCGTTTGTGTTCTAGTTTTGTATGTTACTGTTTGTTCCTAAGTGCTAAGTACAGTGGAGCTGGCTACTTATTATGGTCATTTGTAGCTTCATACTTACAGTTCGTTTGTAAGCACTGCATGGGGACTAAAATTTTTGTCCATTTTCGGTGTCCGTTAGACCGTTACTGTTTGTTCATAAGCGCTAGATGGTGTTGATTGACCTCTTAATGATATTGCTTTTGGTTTCATAGGTTACGGCACATTCATTAGCCCTATGAAAAGTAAAATTGTTTTTGTACTTGTATGTGTCTCCATTTGTTCATAGGCAAGTCGAGCTCTCATTGTTTTCAGTTTTAGTTTACATATATGTTACGGTTTCCCCTATATGTAATTGAATTTTGTTATTTGTAGTTTTGTGCATTACTGTTGGTTCATTGGACGAAAAGAAAATTGTTTCACCAAGAAAATCCTTCTGAAGTACCACCTTTGGTCAAAAATAATTGTCACATTTGACTTTGCACGGTTCTTGATGCGTTTTTTCACTAAAAGGTCCATGTGTATCTTTATGTTATGTGGCTGCTATGGTCACGAGGAAGAGAGGGGGGGCCGGCCGGGGGCCTTGCCCACGACCGAGCAAGAGAGAAGGGGTTTCCTTCTAATTCTTGCTTGATTAGATTGATACATCTCCTCTCCTTATGGAGAGAGGCTTACTTGACCCCTAAACAAGCGATCCTTATTGATAGGCTCGTGACATAGCCCAATCCCGCTTAATTCTCTCTCAATCACTCTTGCTAAGCTTCTATAGCAGCACTTGCTAATGATGTGCCCAGGATTCCCCTCAACTGGGCGCCAATCTAGCCACTTTCCTGATTTGCTACCTCTAACAATACACCCCTCCTGGACAAGCAGCTCGTCCTCTAGCTGCAACCTAACCAGCTCATAACAGTAACTCGATTCAACATAAACCTAACACCTAAAAATAAGCCGTTCACATCTCGGCTCATTTTATTATCCTCACCCCGACATAGATTTGGACTCTTTATTTTTGCTGCCTCTGGAACATAAGGTGGACACCATCCGCACGCTGGAGCTGCACGTGTAGAGCCACCTAGATCCCATGGCGCAGTCTGGCGGGTGTCGAGACCTGGGAGTGCTCGCAACAGCAACCAGCGAAGGTGCCCTCGTGGCGGCCGGTGGTGGAATGCGGCGGCGCTACGCGGTTCACGCCTGCCTGTGGCCCCATGCCTTCTCCCCGCTGGATGGCTGCTGTTCCGCGCCACATAGGGAAGAGAGGAGGGCTTCCGATGAAGAACGGCGAGGAGGGGTGCGCCTCCCCTACCCCCGTCGCCGCAGACTTTGAGGTTGCCGCCCACGGGGGAAATTGCATGTCCGCCGCCCTCGGGGGAAACCGTGTTCCCAAGATCCCCGACGCGGCGGACGAGATCGAGGTCCTCCGCACGGCGATGCGCAACTTGAAGCAGCTGTGAAGGGGTGCGGTGCTGAATCAGCTGCAGATCGCGCATCTCCCGCACCCGCTGACACGCTAGGAGGTCGCGCACAGCAGTCTGCAGCCGCACCGCAAGAGAGAAGGGTTTTCCTTCTAATTCTTGCTTGATTAGATTGATACATCTCCTCTCCTTATATAGAGAGACCCCTAAGCAGGCGATCCTTATCGATAGGCCCATGACATAGTCCAATCACCCCTTAATTCTCTCCCAATCACTCTTGCTAAGCTTCTATATCAGCACCTGCTAATGGTGTGCCCAGGATTCCCCTCAATTGGACGCCAATCTAGTCACTTTCCTGATTTGCTGCCTCTAACACTTTAACCTCTAATTTGCATCAAGTCGTGCTTGACAATTTGCCAACATGAACAGACCTGTGAAGCCATCGGGGCCCGAGGCTTTTTCGGGCTGCGCCTCAAAAATCACCTTCTTAACTTCTTCTGTTATTGGGGTGTCCAACTGCTCCAGATCGTGTCTTTGTATGTTCAGACTCTCCCAGTTCAATGTTCATTCTTGGTGGGTTGCTGTTGAAGAGGTTTGTGTAGTATTGTAGCAGGATGTTTGCCTTGTCTTGGTGTGATGTAGCAGTTTTGTCCCCCATTTTTTAGTGTGGGAATGTAGAAATTCACATTTTCAGATTTCATCTAATTTTTTTACTGCAATTTGGATCGAAACTTTGCGAATTTAGTTAAATTCAGCTGCGAAAGACATTTTTAACAAATCCAAATCCAAATCCAAATCGCTGAATCAATTAGCTACTGAACTGTTGTTTGTAGTTCATTTCATATGCTTCTGTTTGTTCATATGTATGCAATCAGTAACTGCTAAATATTGTTGCTTGTGGTTTCATGTGCTACATTTGTTCATATTTAAGTAACAGGAGCAGTCAATCTAATAATCGAATCCTGTCATTTGTGTATGGTTCGTACATTGCCATGGATTAGTAAGCTCTAGGCGCCACGAAGATAACTTCTGAATTTTTGGCCTGCAGTTTGGTTCGTTATTGTTGGTATTCATGATAATTTGTCGTTTCCATAAGGATGTGAACATTGCCCCATTCTAATAAATTTGTAAAGTTTCTTTTTTGAAATTATGAATGACAAAAGTGGAAATGATAGAGAATTGCATTTACTATGTGTATGACACATTTGTTTAAAAATGAATGTAAATAACACATGTAATACCTAAATAAAACTGAATTTGAAAAATGTGCCTTGTCAACTGAACATGAAGGTCACTAGATCATTCAATGTCTAGTCCATTGAGCTTGTTGACTTCTGTATATCATAATTGACTTATGTTGCCTTATGTCATGCAGTGCTATCCGCGAACAGTGAGACACAGACTATAATGAAAGGGATAAAGCATGGAGCCTGTGATTATATGGTAAAGCCAGTGCGCCTCGAACAGCTTAGGGGCATATGGACACATCTGGTTAAGAATAGTAAGACTGGTGATGCTGCACGGAAGTTGCCATCTGGGGATGGTGATGAAGTTGAGAAGGTTGGAGCAAACCACGCCAAGAAGTATTCAAGGAAAAACAAAAAGGTTGTGGATGTTGCTGATGAGGACAACAAGAACACATCAACCCAGAAGAAGCATAGGGTCCAGTGGTGTGGTGAACTACACCGGAAGTTTGTTCAAGCTGTCAATCAGATTGGCATGGACAGTAAGTTCTCACATTCGTCTGTTAAATCTGTTTCTCTTAACAAATATTTTGTTGCTGTAAATGCAGGGGCTGTTCCTAAGAAGATATTAGTGTTTCTCTTAACAAATATTTTGTTGCTGTAAATGCAGGGGCTGTTCCTAAGAAGATATTAGAAGTCATGAATGTGGAAGGCCTTACTAAAGAGAATGTCGCCAGTCATCTGCAGGTTTGGTTTCTACTCTTATGCTCAATCACTATGCTTGTGTCCCCATCCACTCTATTATTGTTAAAGATATTTGGATAGAACTTGTTTCTGCACCATTTCCATCTCAAACTCAATATTGTGTTTATGTCAATGGAATTTGTGTGTCTGACACTTCAACAATTCAACTGGAGCGTGTGTCTGCCACACACAAAGTTCTAGTGGCGTTACACACATGTATTGAGTCTGGAGTTAATTTTTTCTATCCTGAATTTCTTTTGTATCACCCCATGATTAAGAGCCCACTTCACACATTTTATGGCTTTGTCATTTTTTCTTAACAAAATGTACTTGTCTATTTTGTGATTTCAGAAGTACCGAATCTACCTCAGAAAGCTCAACGAGGGCACACTGAGGAATTCTAATCCATTTGCTGATGAAACTGAAGCACTGCGGAGAAACATGAATGTCCCATCCTTCATTGGCTCTTCAAGCTCAAGCAACCATTTTGCAAAGATGAATTCCTCATCTGTAATTGGAACGCAAGCTTCGCTGCCCACAGAGTCAGTTCAGGTCATGAGCTCCCAACTGGGCATTCCTCCGTCAAACATGGAACCAGTTGGTCACAGTGTCAACCTGCCCAAAGATGTTGTGCCTATGCCAGTGCAGGATATCAGCAGATTCAACACTTCTGGCAAGTCCTACGCACCTGTATCGAGTGGTGGGCTGCCAGGTGCAAGCCAGTGCTTCCGTTCTGGTCCTTCTGGCAGCTCCTTTGCAAATAGTTCAAATGGTGTGGTGTTGAACACAAGCAAAGCTTTCTATGCTGATATTCCTGGGAGTTCATTTGCAAATATCTCAAATGACAGTCCACCATTGACCTCGAACATGTCCTTTTCTTCGTCTCGTTCCTGCAGCTCCTATGCGAGCATGTTGCGTGCCAAGATTTTGGGGTCAAGCAGAGGTATTCCTTTCGAAGATATATCAGATGGTGAGATGTTGGCTCCTTCTGGTCATTTACCATTGCAATCTCCTGACTTGGTGAACCAGCCTTCGGTTCAGCTTCAATCATGTTCTGCTGGCCAATTTAACAAGGTTGCCAGCGAAGTTCACCAAATTGCAGGACCTAGCAACTCCTCGAAAGTTGCTGTGCCGTCAAGGTTTTCTGATCTTGGTCATAATGTTGGAACATCTGAAGATCCTTCACAGGGTAACATTTCCAAGATCAACCAATTGTCAAGATTTGCAGGCTCCTCTGGACAGATTTCAACTTTCGGAAATGACTATCAGAAGAAAAATGCAGGAATCGTGGGGAACACCGTACCAATGGTAGGTTTCAGAGAGCAGGTGGCAACATTTAGTTTTGGAAACAACACGCACTCTACAGCGATGCCGATTGGCAATTCTGCTTTGGCTAGTTCTTCAAGCACCAGACCTGACCTTCAGATAGACAACAATTCTGCCATGCCGACCCAGGTGCTGAATGGCGGTGGTGCAAGTGACAACCTACATGTAGGTAGCACTGTTAATCAGCAAGCTGTTAGTGACCAAGTGAATAACATCAATGATTTCGTCATGGGAACATGTGAGGCACAGAATGGGGAGAGCTATGACTTGGATGATTTCCTTGCTTACTTTAATCAAGTAAGATCCTTTCTCCACTTTTTTTATGCATAAAATCTGTCTCTATCCTGATTTTCATTGAATTCCATTTCGCATTTTTGTGCAAAAGTAAATTAACACATGAGGAATTTACCTAACTGATGTTGGTTTAATTACTTCTAGTTGTTAGTACTCAGCGCATTGCTCATCAATCATCATGCTTGTTCATGCATAACTCGACCATAAGACGTGTTAAATTGCTAGCTTATTTTAAATTTGTTTCTTCTATACTATCTGGCTTTGCATGTGGAATTGATGACTACTACTTATATGATGTTTATCTAACTGAACTAGTTTTCTTTCAGCAGGATTTCATCAACAATGGTGGTCCTTTCATCGATGGGGACTGGGAGTTTGCCCCTTGACGTCATCTCTGGAAAAGAGATGTTTCTGCATTGCCCAGCTGCTAACCAATTCATGGTTCTTGCATGTTGTATGCGCAAATTTGCACTAGTTGTAGTAGGCTAGCTAGGAGCAGGCCATCTTGGATGGAATCCCCATGTTTCTCTAGTGTAGTCATGCTGGTACTCTTTTGTACCAGCTGTAGCTTTTAACCTTTGCTGTTAAGTTTGGCGGGAGGTGTGGGTTTGCCACCCCTGACCTATGTTTTCCCTCTTCGGCTTGAATTTTGGTGGTCATGTTTAATCTATATAAAACAACCTAGCCCCTCTTTGGGGGTTGTCTTTTTTAAAGTTATGATCATAGACAAAGTTATGTGAGATGGATCCAGTTTCCATGTATATTTTTGCTATCTAGTGGTATGATTTCCATGGACTATTTGAACTATTGTATTTCATCTGTTTTTGAATTAACGAAATGCTGCTATTTCTTGAAATTATATTGATAGCCGAGATCTTTTTGTATGGAACACTAGAACAGACAGAATAAGTGCAACACTAGTGACATTGTTCATTCATTACTATATTCCTTGAGCCAAATAAAAGTAGTGCAGGACATGAAGGAACCTTCAATTCATGATCCATTTACCTCTGTTGATAGTCTTGTGTATAAGAAAGGAAATGTCATTTTTCTTTTAAGGGAAAATTGTCTGGCGGACATCCAAAGTAATGGTCGTTTGCTGACGGACACCCAGTTTTGAGCAGTTTGCCAGAAGACACTCTGGTTCGTTGAAATTAGGCCATATGACACCGTAGCCCCGTTTCAGCCGGTTGAGGAGAGAGAATTTTGTTTTGGACATCCGGTGCCCCTGAGCCACACTTGGGTCTGCCCCCAACCTGGTCTGGTTGGACCCCAACGGAGGGGATGGCGGCGCGGGAGGGGAAGGCAGCGCGGGAGGCCGCTGCCGGAGGGGAAGGCGCCGTCAGCCTTGCACTGCTCGTCCTGGCGGCGCACGGCGGCCTGGAAGACAGCGAGGAAATCGCGGCCGTGGGCGTCGAGGATCGCGTTGCGGTCCTTGAAGGGCCGCTCGAGCGCGCGGATTTGCTTCCCTGTGGTGGCCTCCTCGGCGGCCCGCGGGGTCCTCGGGCGGCGACGAGGGCGGGTGGAGGTGGGGCTCCTGCGGCTGGAAGGCGGAGGGGAGTAGCGGGTCGGCGGAGGGGAGCGAGTTGTGGCCGAAGCGGAGGAAGTCGAGGAAGGTCTTGCGGTCGGGGAGGGAGACGGGCGGGATGCGGCTGAGGCGCGCGGCCTGGATGAAGTCGGTGTGCTTGAGGTCGTGGTGCTGCGCGAGGAAGATGGCGGCAGAGAGCGGGTAGGGGCGGGCTGACTGCTTGGATGCGAAGGCGGTGGGGGTGGAAGCCAGGAAGGTGTAGTTGGAGCCGAAGTGGATCTCGTCGCCGGAGAAGATGATCTTGTACAACTCGTTGCGCGCGCGGGCTCCGCCAGCCACGGCTCCTCCAGCCGCGGTCGCGAGCTCCGCGCGCGCGTAGTGGATGTGGCGGGGTAGCCTTGCCCATAGCTCCTCCGACCGGGTGCGATGAAGGCGACGGGGCGGCCTCACCCGCAGGTGTTCCGACAAGGCGCCGTGGAGGCAGCCGGACCTCGCCCATCGGCGCGCAGGCGTGGCCCGCTGGAGGCAGCGGGGTGCCCTCGCCTAGAGTCGCTCCGACCAGCTCACGTCATGGAGGAGGCAGATGATGAACTGGCCACGGGCGTCGCAAGTGCGAGGTCACCAAAGGCATGCAGCAGCGTCATGGACGGCCGGTGCGAGACCTGCTCTAGGATGACGTTGAGGCTACCCTCGCGCTCATGGCAGGCGGAGCCGTGGTTGGCGGAGCCCGCGTCTTCCCCTCCGGCAGCGGCCTCCCGCGCTGCCGTCCCCTCCCGCGCCGCCATCCCCTCAGTTGGGGTCCAACCACACCAGGTTGGGGGCGGACCCAACTGTGGCTCAGGGGCACCGGATGTCCAAAACAAAATTTTCTCTCTCCTCAACCGGCTGCAACCGGTCAGCAGTGTCATGTGGCCTAATTTCACTGAATCAGAGTTTCTTCTGGCAAACTGCTCAAAACGGGGTGTCCGCCAACAAATGACCATCAATTTTGATGTCCAACAGACAATTGTCCCTTCTTTTAATTATACAAAACTCAAACAATGTTTGATCTCCTTGACTCCCAACACCAATGGCGCTTCCTCATGGAGTTTGTATCATATCCTGGTGGTAGTGATCTATTCATCCTTGTGATCTCAAATTCTTGTCTCCTTTACTATCATATAAGTGTAAAATTGTAGAACGTTAATTGTTTTGTTTGCATATGGATTTATTTTACAAAGAGCACGGTCGGTTCATAAATTTGTCTAGCTGTGTCAGCCCGCCTTAAATGTTTCCGACTGCGTCATTCCATTCCGTATACTCTCAAAATGTAATTGCTCCTCTAATCTACACCTCTTCTTTTCTGTGCGTATGGTTTTCAGTACAGCAGTAGTAGGGCCTAAGACAAGCAGCTTGTAGTTTGCCGGGCAGGAGCAGTTTTCATATTGTCCAGTGTATGTCCGGTTAATCCCAAATATGAGAGGATTAAGGGGATTTCATCATCTTCCATGTTGTCCAGTGTATGTTCGGTTAATCCCAAATCTGAGAGAATTAAGGGGATTTTTGTTTGAATAAGCATTAGGACTTAGGAGCTCCGTGGCGGGATCGGCATGGAAGATTTAGTGTAAGTGCTCTAGGACTTAGGAGGAGATTGTTTGAATAAGCCCTGAGCATGCTAACTAGCTATAGTTAGAAGTAGATCAGGATAGCTGAGCATGCTAACTGGCTATAGTTAGAAGTAGATCAGGATAGCTGCTGCGCGCGGTCACCACTGGCTGAGCGCGCACGGGGTGCATGACGCGCTCTCTCCACTGCACGGCCCAGGGCGCTGGGATGGCAGCGATCAAGCACGAGCGTGCCGTGATCCACTTGGTCATTCTTGGCCATGTAACACTGCATGTACTTAGTTTATATTGAAGTTCAATCAACAGAAAACGCTGCCGCTTTGCAGCACCAAAAATCACTTGTGTTCCACCTGTGTTCGCGTGCGTTCATCCACTCTCTCTTGCTCTCGCTGTGATCCGGATTCTATCAATTTTATCGTCTTCACGGCAAAATCCCCTTCAATCCGTTTCGATTGGGGATTAACCGACAAGCGCTGAGGTAGCTTCAGTTTTGCATTGTGTGGTCTGAAGTCTTAAATGACACCAGCAGCATTAGCAGTTTAATTTTCTTGTTTACATACCCGTGAGTGAACAGTGAATGGGAAGGAGTATTAGGCAGATTTGTTTAGCTCCTAGTAAAAGGACAAGGAGGACTGCACGGCACTTCCTACTAGTGATTGGTACCAGTAGTTGATCATAATTTCCTCTAGATTCATTACACCACAACACCAAGATTAGTGATGGATGGTTTGACGCTAAAAGCGGCTGCAGTGACAGACAATTTGACGCTAAAAAGTTATAGCGACAGACTTCTGCAGACGCTGTAAGTTCTGTCGCTAAAAATCTTTAGCGTCAGACAGTACTTTTAGCGACAGATAGTCCGTTGCCTTGAATTTTTTTAGCGACAGATAGTCTGCTGCTACTCTTTAGCGACAGATAGCCTGCCAGTACTCTACAGCGACAGACAATTTAAAGTTACAAATGTTTTTAGCAACTGATGGTTTGACGAGATCATTTAAATGCATTTAAAAAAAATAAAAGGCCATTTGGTTGCAAATTAATACAAAAATAACATCATTGTGTACATTTCTCATACAAATAGATTCATTCATGAACCTGCAACATAGATCCATGATCAGATAAAGTTACTATGCTTCAGTATGATGTATTATTACAAAAGTAGGAATCACTCCATTTTAGATGCATATAAACACTACTTTCAAAAGAAGCAAAGTTACATGCCTGTAAAAATTGTAAACCTGCACAATCAACAAGTCTATACTCTTTCACTATAGGATATAAATATTATTGATTTCTTCTAAGTAATTGACTAGATGAAAAGCAAGGATGGCTTGTCATTTCTCCTGCTACTCAAAAATTCAGAACCTGAAACACATGGTTGAGCTGTTGCTGAACTGAAACAAGCCAAGACCAAGTTGCCAAACAGAGCAAGATGAGCTGCTGCTATTTCAATTGATTTACTACAGTGCAATAACAGAATGATAAATATAACTCGGTTACAAATTGCAACTTTCAACTTACAATGAGAGAATAAGATGACATAGTTTCACAAATATAGTTAAAAATTTGCCTGGAACTGAACCATCTATTTTGTGCTTAGTTTGGGTCATAAATGATGAGACCTTTTGATTATTTGCGGGCATGCATTCACAAGGCAAATCAACGGCACTATACAGAATACAAAACAAACTGATCCAGTGAGACCAGCTCACAATCATGAATCAGTCTGATTAAGCTGAATGCAATAACATATATGCAGAATTATTTTATGATTTATAACAGAAGTTAACAAGTGGTAAACACAAGCCAAGATAAACTATGTCCTGTATTACTCCCCATGCCAATAATATGCACACGGGGCACATTATCCTTTTAGAGTTCCTGAACCCCCCTATAGCTCAGATTACGTGCTAATACCATAATAAGATAATGTCTAAGCATTAGTATCACATATGCATTATATATGTGTCACGGAAAATAGTTTAAGTCGCAAAGGCATTGTTCCTTCCCAAGTCCATCAAAGGTCTATCCGAGTCTAACCGTCATTGGATGACCCGATGATGGTAACATCTGCCTTCAGCATACAGTTTGATCCCACAATATAGCAGCTAAATGGATCCATGAGTGTCTTGAGTGGAATGAAGTTGGACCATCCCCAGCCAATCTTTGCTGCAACTCCAAACACGAAGCGACCTGCGTTTGCGGCAAAGTAAGGTCGTATCCAAACAAAAGTAGCCACTAGTCAATAGTAATGTTGATAGATATTATGGAGAGTTGAACCTGTAACTGTGTAGTGCCCCTCATGCTTCTGGTCCAAGATGGAGAGAGTCAGTTCAATCACCATCCCAGTCTCAAGAGGGATCTTGTTCAGATCATGCAGGTGTAAGTAGAGGGAAAGTGAATTGGTGCTGTATTGGTCACCAAGTGGGTACATGTTGATGTACCTGAGAAGGAATGAACACAATCTGTCATTACCATTAATGCTTGACAGGTAAGAAAAGAAAAGAAGAAAGTATGATGCTAGGCTCCTTGGAAGGTGATGCTGTTGGCAGACTTGTGCCCAAGCCAAGTGACAGTTAAACAAAATTAAGCTTCCAGAAACAATAGATTTAATAGACTGGAATATAAATGGCTGTTCAAAACATACTAGTACTAGTGCTGTTCAAAACATACCAGTACTAGTGTTTGGCTCCATACATAGAGATAACACTACAATTTAACTAGAATACAAAAGACTCCCATTATCTCAAAATAAAAGGCGTGGTTTGACTTGGTACAACCATTAAAGATCACATTTTTGCTGCTATTTTTTTATAGTATATCATTTGCGGCAACAAAAGCTTAATCATTAGAAAGTACTAGCAAATATAACCGTGATTTGTAATGGAACATTCAGCTTGTATGAGCACATGTCGTAAGTTTAGGTCATGGACAAAGAAGAGAGGTTCACGAGGGCATTGTAGGAAGTAAAATATGATGGACCGAAGAATCCACTTTGATTTTAAAATTAATTATGATCAATAGATTTCTAAATATGAATCCAGTGTAACCACTTTTGTAGTACACACTTTTCACATGTTTGACTAATTTTTTTGTCAAAGATAACAAAGTTCAAGTCTTGAAATATGTGCACGCGTTATATTTCGGGATAAAGGAGTAGTGAAAATATCTAAAGGAGCAAGAGAGATTCTGTTGCAAAAAGAAACCCACACATGATTATATAGTATACAACATTCACTAGCACTCCCTCCATTTCAAATTATAAGTTATTCTGGCTTTTCTAGGTACATTATTTTTGCTATGGACCTAGATATAAGCTATGTCTAGATACATAATAAAGGGTAAGCTATGTATGTAGAAAAGCCAGAATGACTTTATAATTTGGAAGGGGGAGAGTAAGTAATAATAAGTAATAATGTTGGTGGCATGAATAACTTTATTTTTTGAAGAACCGGCATGAATAACTATTACTACCACCTGAATGGAAGGATACTTGCACACTGAATGATTAATGCCATATGCATATTATATGAACCAAATACACTGGAACAAAAATAGATGCATACCATTTATGACGATCAGCTTCAAATGCAGGAGAACAGACTGGGACCTTCATGTCAAGGAAGTTGTTCATGGTCCAGGTGTAGGTTCCTTTGATGAACCCCTTTTTCTGGAGGAAGATGTTCTGAACTGTGATAGGCTTCTTTGGAATCACAATAGGCTTATTCTGAGAAGAGACATGTGCCTTTAATATCCTCACACCAAAGACACAGCTATCATCAACCAGAAAATCAGATGATTTCAGTAGTTCTTCAAGAGGAATCAAGCATTGTTTCTCTGATCGCTTGTTCTTGATATCGAAGTGGTAGCTATCTGCTCATAGATAAAGGAAATATAACAGTATTAGAAATATGCGTTGAAGATTAGGTACTCGTATGAATCTGTAATCTACAAATTACCCAAGCACAATGCAATCTGTTTCCACTCCTAGTTAACTATTTTAATTAATTTAAAAAGTAGATAAACAGGTATGCAGGGCTAGCTTTTTGTGAACTGCAACTACAGAATGACCAAAATAGTAACAGCAGCATGTCTATTTACTCTGAAATATTGATCAAATAAGAAGACAATATGAAGCGGACGAAATAGTGAGAAAATCTAAAAGATAATGTGGTGAGTATTTGACCATATATCAAATTCCATACCAATTGAGTTGCAAGGGTAAATTATAATATGATGCTCAGTAGTTTCAGTTTCAGGGAGCTATGGTCGAAGCTTATAGAGCATGGATAAGGACTCCCATTTGTAATAATATGTTTGGGCTTGACATAATTTCAGAAACTACCTTTGCATCCATGATATGTCCCTTTTGAATGGTTGCACATTGACAACTCGAACACAGCAGTCAAGATATCACCTGACTTTAAGTCGTTTTGGTACACCGAGAGCGAAAGAGCAATATGTGGAGTCTTGTGACCAGATTTTTTATGCATTGGGCTCACTTGCAGGAACCTGTTAAATGAATTAATGAGCAGATATGTTATTCAGATTAGTAATCAATGCTGCAGAAAACAAAAGGCTTTTCTTGAGGACTGTGAAGGGGAGTTTGAAATTTTACAGCCATGAGGTTTACATTAACTAAAACATCATTTGTGACTACCTGACAGTCTAATTAATATTTTTGACAGACAACTATGTTATCTTCCCAAATAAACTAGATAAGATTTTGAGTGTGTACATGGTGCCTGCTTAATATGGATTCATTTCGAGTATGGTACATACCAACCATATCCACAACAGTGAAAAATGGCAGAATTGGCTGATACAGCCCCCCTATCAAGTAGAACTTCCATTTGAAAGCTGGATCATGGGTCTTTCCCAGCAGTGCAGGAGCTGAAATCGTTACAAGAACAATCACACAAAGTTTGAGAAAGGCAAAGGGAAAATGTAGAGATTACATGCTATGAGGAGATTAGGGAGCATGCTAGTTCAAAATAATGAACTCCAAAATAGAAAGTTTAAGAAAGGAAATGGCAGACAGAAGAATAGTTCTGTATAGAAAATAATATTGCATTCAACTTCGAACTGTCTTGATCAAAATATATAACACAACCGTGATAATTGGTTACTTGGCCAAACAAAAGTAATGATCTATGTGCTTTTGCATAGCTTACCACATAATACACACACTACTCTACAGGATAATGTTTCTCATCTTTGAATTCACTCATTGGACTAGAAAATTAAATAGAAAAAATTATAAAGACAATAAAGCAAAATTCAGCCCACTAATAATGTTCAGTTACAGCTCACATGGTTTAGAGACTGAACACTGTAAGCCTTTTGATCACTGAAGGAAGCATAAACATGTTGGTAAGCTAATGAAAAGACTAGTGCTAATCTTCTGATAGCTAAGGAAATGAACGCTAACTAATTAACTAACTAATGAAAGCTAGTTAACATGTGGAAAAATAAACCCAAGAGCAACACTAATTATATCTTCACAGCCTTCTCTTTTCAGGTTTCCTATTTAATCACTAAAAAGTATGTTGATTCAGCCAAAGGGGAGGTCGTCAGATCCATGCAAGATGAAAGATCCACGCAAGAAGAAAGGGGAGGCTTCAAGGGAGGGCTGAGGACATGCAATTACCTCGCAGTATGACAAACTAGCCTCCACTTGGGGTTTATAAAATTTCAGATCCAAGCATCTGTCAGGTTTATAAAATTTCAGTGAATTAAATACTCATGTGTGCATACAGACTGCATATGTAAAAGAACATACTGCTACCAACAAAGAAGCCAATTCAATGCAAAACCGAGACAAGCAACATGAGTTCAAAATAAACAGATAGTATTAATTAAATGATTATGGAATTAATGGTGGCCGATATGTAACAAAGGTCTATCTTGTAATTAAATGATTATGCAAAACCGAGACAAGTTTGCTAATTTTCAGTACTAAAAAAATGACTTTCTAAAAATACAGACTAGTATAATTCAGATCAAGACTTGCTAAAAATTCAGAAGGTCAACAGCTTCTAAGTAATGTCTTGGTAGGTTTATAGGTGTGGGTAATCAGGAGCTTCTGAGTTCAGGTCAAGGTCGACAGCATTGGCAACAAAAAACTCCATGCCACCTGCATTGGAAAGCGGAAGCATAACTCAACATTAGCATAAACTGAAAACCATGTAAGGATAGCTCAAACAACATATAGGAAGAGAAAAGTCTCAGCAATGAAGGACAAAGTAACAAACCTCATGTCTGACTCTTGACTCTAGCTGCATAGAGTGACCGAACTGAACTTGACAGAAACAGATAGCAGCCAACTAAAGTTGGTGATCATTACGTTGTCAACAAGATTTTTTTAACAAAAGAACACACAAACTAGCTACTGATTCCCGCCAAAGCTGCACGTGTGATGCAGCCTCAGAATTGCTACCATATATACATACATTCAAAACTAACAATCTCTAATAAATAGCTAGGAACATAACCGCTGCACAGAATCACCAATCGCCACCAAAAGAAATTAAAGAAGCTTATTTTTCAGCACTTAGCAACACTTTATGATTGCTGACTGCTGACGGCTGCCCACAACAATTTCATGAAAGCATATACCTTCTGTAGTGCAAAGTGACACAACTACACTACCCCCTATGGTACCAAACAAAAAATCCATGTCACAAGTACTCAAACCAGACCACGTCAATCTATCAAGAGCACACTTGGTCAACACAACACTCCATAAGCTCTACAGATTTAAAAAGAAAAAACAGAGCACTCCAAGAGCAAACAGATAAAGCACACAATCTGTGAGAAAGCAGACCGAAAGAACAAATGCTAACTTTATCCTTTTCAACAACTCAACATTCCGGAATCCTACAAGCCTACTAATTAATCATTTACTTAGCCTTTTCCTCCCCCATCTGCTGCCTTTACCTTTGGCCACCTAAAGCGAACGAAAACAACCGCCACCTGCTAAGATTCCTTAACCATGTGTTCATGCACCACCAAATGCATTACCTTTCAGATAAAACCTATATCTGCCGTCAGTAAACCCTAAAAATCTGTGTTGCGTTCGTAGGGTGTAGGCCGGCAGGGCTGGTGGGCGTTGGTTAGCGTGCGCTTAATGTATTATTTCTGCATTGTGTATCTCCTACTTAGAAATTAGGAGGGCAATTTCAGAAGGAAAAGAAAATGACGAATTTGCACATTGCTCCTAATGAACTAATTGAATCCGACTGAATCGCCGAGAGTTTCATGGACTGGGACTTACTTGTTGCCTCTGATCTTGAACCAGGCGTCGGCGCACTGCCTGTGGGCGCTGTCGCTCCACCGTCAAAGCGCTCCTGCTTGCGTGCTCTAGGTGGCATGGTCAGCTTTGGGGGCGGCGTGCTCCAGGGGGCGGCGTTGTCCACCGTTGCGTACTCCAGGGACGGGGATTCTCGATCCGCCGGCACCGGATGGAGGGGAAGGATGGCGTGGGCAGGGGACTGATCGGGCAGTACTTGGCGTGCCACCGCGCGGGGTCCGCGCCGGTGAAGCCGCTGGCCGGTGCGCCCAGGCCGTAGTGAAACAGGAGGTGGGCGGGGTGGGTGAGCTATAGGAGATTGCGAGCGGGAGCTAGAGGGCGGGGCGAGCTGGGGCAGGGGATTTGGGGGTGCGCGAGGCGCTGTCGGGGCGGAGGGCTGGGCGGTGCTCTGTCGCGCGTAACAGGCGGTGAGGGGAGCAGTGAGGGCGAGCGGCGTGGGGACTGGGGGGCGAGGCGGGCGCGAGGGGATTTGGGTGGGTGTCGACGGATTTGGGAGGGATAGGCGCGTGGTCGATCGTGCTGGATGAAGACTGGCGGCACGAATTGGAATCTGAAGGGCAGGGAGAGAGCGGAGCACGGCGAGAGAGTGAAAAGATTGGGCGGCGGCCCGCGGGAGAGGGTAAAGAACAGGCGGCGGCGCTCTTGGATTTGGGATCTGTGGGAAGAGTCTAACTGTACTGTGGGCCAGACAAAAATTTGCGCACGAACTGCTTATGGAGACAGGGCGCGTGAGCTGGGCGTGGGGCCCATTTTTTTAGCGTCAGACAGATCAACGCTATATCTGGTTTTAGCGACAGACGGGCTAACGCTAAACATGAACATCTATAGCGACAGACAACAAATCGCTAAATGAGGATTTAGCGTCAAATGGTCTCTGAGTTATCTTTAGCGTCAGATCATCCATCGCCAAATATAATTTTTAGCATCAGATGTGTGACGGTGAAGCGATGTAGTGGTGTAGTGATTTAGATGGAAATTCAATATTAGAGTGAAAATGAGTAAACCTGTTCATCTTCATGCATCGGCGGTTACGATTGCTGCAACTGAAGATGGTCAGGCTTCTCTCAGTTTTCAAACATTGTTCGGCTACAACTTGTTTCATAGATTGTTTTCATTTACTTATAAAATAACAGCACTTATGCAGGGAAATAGTTCTGCTCTTGCCCGAAATAATCATGTTGTGCAAAGAAACAATTAAGAGCTGATCATGCCACACATTTTAGTTGCAAACAGTTAAAGCTGGCAGTTAAGCTACCGATTTCTCTTTTTTATAAAAAAACATGTAGCACTTCAGTAGCCTGAAAGGCTGAAACCCTGAATGTTGATATTAACCTCCGTTCAGAATCCATAAGCCATACTACGCTTCCATTCTTTACCTTCATGCCCTACAAGTAAGTTTTACTGAAATGATATCGATGCTCGAGTGACTGAATTCTGATGCTAGATGACAAGAGTCAAACATACGGGTATGCCGACCAAAGGACCTCTGACTGATCTCACAGATCGCTCAGGGGCTAAACCCATCCTGTACGCTCACGCGCACCCTCTGGAAGGAGTTAGGTCGAGCCCGAGCATGCCCGCAGCCGCTCCTCGGGGCTCGGGGGCTCGCCAGAGCCCAGACTGCCGAGTCAAGCTTGACTCCTACCCAGTACTGACCTGAGCTATCGCTCGGACGCCCGAGCAACGCTCCAAGCCACGGGCAACCTGCCGAGCATCCGAGGCTCGACGGGCGATAGGACTCCGCAGCGCCGCCCCGACCAACGGGCGCGAGGCGCTGTCCACCTGCTCCCTCAACACGGTCACGCAATTGGCATGACACAACGCGACAAGTGGCTACACCAACTCCGAGGGTAGCAGGCTCTAGGGCCCAATAGTCAGCCCCTCAAGGCGGGGCTCCTGCACGGCCAAGGAGGCCTTGATAAGGTTCACCCAAGGGAGGCCGAACTATAGCAGACAGCCCTTGACGGTCAAGTGTTAGGTAGTAGCAATGTCAGGCGGCGCCTGCAACCCCACCCTACACGACGAGGTCGAGGTCTATCCACATAGTGATAGCACCCTCCTGCACCTGGCGCATGAAGACCATAGACCGAAGCACCAAACTGACTTGTACTTGACCTTCCTCGGAATATAAGGGGAGGGTCAGCTCCCATAGAGAGAAAGAGGGCAAATCAAACAATGAGAAACAGAGGAACAGTAGAGTGTTCCCCCGTCAACCCAGCTAGAGAGAGGCCGATTCCTCAGTCGCTAGGATGAACCTCACAGTCGACGAGCCATAGGATAGCACCGAGTGATCCCCTGCCAAACTCTAATTTTCTTCCATTGTCGTAATCCCCTGATTTGGGTGCTCCTGAACACGAAGAACACCTCACTGCTGGATGTAGGGCCTCAATAGCCCGAACCAAGATAAACCGCTGTGTATCCCTTGTGTTTTTGAGTAACCGAGCCACCGAAGACCCAGACTTCCGACATTCGATGAACAACCATGATGCTTACTATGGTTATGAACCCACAATAGCTGACGCGCCAGGTAGGGGAGCGCGT